ATAGCAATGACAGTGTTCTGCAACAAATAATGAAACCTTTACGTTCTACATTAAAGTGCCGCCCAGAGAGTGATTCTACTCGTGTTCACTTCTGTACGGTTTCAGAAAAAAAACTTTTCTTCATTATCGGGATGAAAATAGACTTGCCAGTAAGAACCTTTCAGGTCCAGGGTAGAAATCATAGTGACATCATAGTGACAATCATAGTGAGGGTGTCATCAATACAGGATATTACTAACCATTCTTTTTTGTGGCGTCATTCAGCCGCCTATTAGTACAGCAGTGGTTTGTTTCAAAGAGAGAAATTCTTTTACCTGTTTCTTCCTCCATTGTGTTTTTCCCTACTTAGTTTCTACTATTGTCGGATTCATTCCTTTCTGTTAATGTAGTTCTCTTCTGTAACTCTTCTATTTTATATACTTTGGATACTTTATCCACAGAATCACAGAGTCCCAGGAGGTTGTTTTTTGAAACAAAACTCAGTACTTGGCAATATTCACGAGGACTCGGGCGATTATCAATCCGACTGGTTGAATTTTTTCAACTTCCATTATCAAGTCTTAAGGGTTTCTTTCCAGTCCCTCCTTTATACATTTTGGAAAATCTAGATATTTGCATTTCATCAATAACAAATTTGTATTTCATCAAACAAATTTTCGAAATCCTCTCTTTATGTTCAAAATTAAAACGTTCTGTTTCATGATAATGTGAGATCTTGGCAATCTTCCAGAGTGTGTGGGCTTATCATTATAGATATTTATGGAACCCATTAATGTTCGCACCGGTTACCTAAAATTCCGTGGTAAATTACTAACTGAATGAATATTGACAATTGGTTATATAGTCATTTTATTTAGTATACCATTCGAATTCTTGCAGTTGGTAGAGGTTACACTAAGTTGGCGGACTGATTTGGTTGGCATATTGGCATAATCCAATCTGAGTTGTACTTGCAAAGATGATGGGAAAATGTTATTATCAACATTTTCATTTTAAATAGCACCTAATATATTCAAAGATGTTATTTTCAGATGCTGATCCAAATGGCATTGCATTCTGAGATATTGATAATCTCATCGTTCTGATGTTCTCTACTGAAAACTACTGGCCATGCCCTTGTGGTAAAATACGATGGAAGTATATTTTTCCAGTTTGCCCAATAGAACTGTGAAATTATGCAAGTACTTCTCACCTACCGCTTTCTCAATGAGCCTACCGTAGTTCACGACTATCCTACGTTTTTCTCTTCTCGAATTGTATTTTGGTACGTCATCTAAAGATCAAATTTGGTGTTTAACTTCACCAATTGACGTTATCGGAATATTTGTACAGTAAAATATGTACGAGTAGTACTTTTACCAAGTGATGCTATTTTGTTTTCTTCTATCCATTCAAATATTTGTATCGATTTTTTTTTAATCGTAGCTGCTCTTCTAATATTATTAGTAATATTATTAGTATTGCCTCTGTTGGCGATTGTCAAATATTCTGAGAAAATTGAGTGCTACTCTTTTAATATTATAATCCGTAGGGTTGTCCTGCCTGTGTTGGCGATTGTTAAACATTCTGGGAAAAATTTAGTGTGGCTGCTCTTCTCATATAATCATTAGGGTTGTTTTGCTGTTTTGGTGTTTGTTAAACATTCTGGGATTGAAAATTTTGTAAATTTATTTTCGGATATCAAAGATAAACAAGGCTTCCCAAGACAATCAGTTGCAAAACCAAGCGTCGACATTGACCGCCGAAGAGATTCGTCCTCTGTCTTCCACTGCAGTTTGCGCTACAAGGCAACGAGTTAAAAACCAGAGCCCAAACACAACGCCGCGATTGAAGTCGAAGTTTGGCCTTGGAACTGACCACTTTGGGGACCTTCATTTATCTTTGATATCTGAGAATTGATTCCACAGATGGGGAGATGTCGTTCACCTTCCTTATACAGACTTTCCCGTCGAGGACGCATTTGTGGTTTAGCCTAGCACCACCGATGAGACCTATGGCGGGTCGAAACAGTTGCGTTACAGTAAATACAAAGGACGAATCTTGTCGGGGGTCGATGCCAAAGTTTTGCAACAGATTGTTGAAAATTGTATTGGTAGCGTCATCTGATAATCAAAAGATGAGTGTTTTACAAATATAGAGATAGTTTTTTATCGAACTTGTATTTTTGTAAAAATCTATAATCTTTATCTAAAGATTATACATTTGTACAAAAATTAGCCTATAGATTTAGAATAAGATAGTCTATAGCTATAACTAAAATTCCATAATAGTGTAACCCCTATGATGGGTTTGAGCTCTGTATTTGAAGCCGAAGATACTTTCTGATAGGAATATTTATTTCCCAAATGAAGCCGCCATTGTAGCAATGCTAGGCTTATATAGAGGAAAACAGAAAATACCTTGATCTTTATATTTATCAGTTTTGATAGGGAAAACTATAGCCAAAACTTAAAATTAGAGCAGCCACTGTCACCATTTGAAATCTAGAAAGGGAAAATGATACTTACTAGAGAACTATCTTAGATGATGCCTGCAGAAGTGATCACCCTCCAAAGGTTTTGCTCAGCTTCTCCTTATCAAATAGGCACTGTTTCAGAATAGAACACTTTTTCACTTAAGTCCTTCCAGGCGCTTTGTCGGGATATGCCATTGATACCTCTTATATGAACTTTTCCTAGGGAGTTCCCTTATTTATGTGAGATACGAATATACTCTACGTTCCCATTTTTCCCCTGTTTCTCCTACCAGTATAATTACCGGCAAAAATACACGGTATTCAAAGTTGATAAGTATAATAAAAAAAAGATATAAGAAATGCAAAAGTTACAAATATGATATAAACGACAAAATAAACAAAAAACGCAACCATCAAAAGGAACACATTAACCTAGTCATACCGTAAAAGAATGCTCAACCGGCATTCGATTGAATATTCATAATCATGCCCTTTATTCGGCAATTCTATATGAGACAAGCTATTTAAATAAATGTTCACCACAGTATTTCAATAAAAGTATATGGTTGGCCACCAGACGAAAAAACCCTAAAACTTTCTTACCAATAGCTCTCTTCCTCTGTTTAGCTGTAGATAGCGGCTAATCCTTTTATGTTTTACTGAATTTAACACAAGACACCTCAAAAAATTAAAATAAAAAATTGAAAAAGATTTCAAACCAATTTACGTCACGACGTTTCGATTGTTAGTATCCACAATCGTCTTCGGGTGATAACTGAACTTATTCGTCGGAGATCTGACTATTTATAGGTCATTCGAGTGCTTTCACCTATCCCCTCTTCCCTCTCTCCGCTTCATTGGTTTTAGCGGGAGATGACCGTTTGGCGGGAGTTGGTCGTGTACCGCTTGATAAGAGGTTTCCATATGTTACGTATCTCTACGCTTGCTTGGCTAAACGCGTTGTTGGACAACATATACGCGGCTTATTTGAATTTTCTCCTAAACCAGTGTTCTTCCTTGTGGATGATTTCAGCTTAATTCCACTTGATGTTATGGTGATGAGTCCAAACATGCTCTGCTATTACGGATTTGCTGGTTTCTCCTCGCTGTGTGTGTTTCTTGTGCTCAGCAATGCGAATTTTCAATGGCCTCTTAGTTTCACCGATGTATGATTCTCCGCACTCGCAGGGTATCCGGTAAATGCAATTCTTGGAATCGCAGTACTCGTTTGGTAGCCTGGTTTTTGTGAGGTGTTATTTCCAATCTCAAACATCATAAGGTCTCCTCAGCTTTTATAGACGACTGCAAGGCTCTCTTCAAGCGAAGAAATCAGAATTCTATCATGGTTAATACCACCTTTTGCGGGTATTGACTCGATGAAAAATCTGTATCAACAATTCTCAGAGAACTCGAGGAGTTTCAAGAACGGGACAGCGACTGGGCGCTGAAAAAACTCTTAAACTTGGGTGTGAATATCAATAAGTTCACACCGCAGCTGTGATCCTCATACATCGAATTACTACAACAAATCAAACGAAGAAAGGCTTGCGTTGATATTAAGAACAACGATGGGGTCTGCTCTGCGTGGGCACTGACTTCAGCTCTATATCCTGTTGACTGTAAGACTCACCCATATAGAATATCATCCCTCATTATTCCAGGGTGTACAGTGGCCGATGACTCTTAAGCAGATTCCGAAATTTGAACAACTAAATGATATTTCTATCAATGTTTACATGCTTCAGAAGAAATATAAAACGTTCAATACCCTACCTACATACCTGTGTAATACTACTTGATGTGCTTATACGATGACAGAGATAATTGTATGCAATGTTTCGCTGATGAGATGGGTAAACTAGCTGAAAATATGACTACAGTTTTTTGGTGTCCATACAACGTCGACATAACTTCAGATCAAGAAGTTGAGTTTCGAAGAGCTACATACTGCTATATCTGCGAAGAGCAGTTCACTCACGAAGATAAGAAAGTACGCGACCATAACCATCTCATACCATGTGATAACTATCGTGGCCCCGCGCATGAAGAGTATAATATAAATTACAAAGATAGCTACGGGAACTATCCCGTAGTCTTCCAGAATTTGAGTGGTTATGATGCACATTTATCATCACAGATATTGAATCTAGAATGAGAAGTACGATTGACTTGCTACCCATCACAAAAAAAAACTTCGATTCGATGCACTTTCGATTCATCGATTATTTTCGCTTTATGAATTCATCTCTGGATATTTGAGTATCATACTTGATAGAGTTTCCTAATGTTCAGTTATCCGAGTTACCTGAAGTATTGGTTAAATTACTTACTTAGAAGGGGGTCATGCCTTATGATTATACTAATTCTTTTGATATATATGATGAAACTTGCTTGCCTCCTATTTAATGCCTTCTACAACAAGTTAGAAAATAAGCCCTGCACCTACAGACTATATCAGCGAGAGTTTCAGTTTTCAGACTGCCTCAGGACTCATAATCTGCACCCTACTCACTACTTTACGCTACCAGGCCTTACGTGGGACGCTATGCTCAAATACACCAAAGTTGAATTGGAACTACTCACCGATCCTGACTTTTCTATTTGGTTGAACAAGGGCTTCGAGGTGGACATTAAAAGGATAATTAACATTAAACTCCTCACCAGATGGGCTGGTCGCTACGGAGCCAAAGCCTATATTTCTAAGCCAGAGTTCAAAAATTACATGATCTGGAAATTGGTGGCAGTCGAACTGAGGAAACTGCGAGTTTATCTAAATGAACCGATACAAGTGGGACACGCTATCTTCGACTTGGCAAAGACTACCAAATACGATTTTCATTATAGTTATATGCGCCATAGATTCGTAGACAATTGTGTAATTCTCTACACCGATACAAATAACCTGACATATGGAATATGCAATCTGGATCCTTATGAAATCATATGTCAAGATTGTCACAAATTCGTCGAAACTTCGGATTACCTTTCCAATAATCAGTTTTAAGTTCCTTTGGTAAATGAACAAGTTCTCGGGGCGATGAAAGATGAGAATAACGCAGTTTCGATGACTTATAATGTAGACCTACGTAGACCTTAGGGTATTGGTGACGGAGGATGGCATCACTAAGAAGCGGCAGCAGTTGGTAAATGATGGATATGATGAGGATGAAATTAATGAAATCATGTCATGCTTAGGAGTTACCAAGAAGGCAAAGGGGGTCAAATCTTCTGTGGTGAAGAATTAAATTACATTCGATGATTATGTGAGGTGCTTAGATAACTGAAAGAATATGAGTGTCACCCAAAATTTGATTCGATCCGATAAACATTATGTACATATCATCGCCCAATACAAGATTGCCCTCAGCCCTGAAGATGATAAGCGTTATATAATTCCACATTCACACAATACGCCTCTATGGGGTCACTATTCTATCCTTCAAACATCAAATGCTATGGATGTTGACGAATAACCTATTTCGATGATTATTAGTAAATATGTATTCGGCTGCAGTTCAATTGAGAAGAGATTTTTATATCATTAATAAATGTTCAACTAATTACTTCATATCATAAGATTTGAGGTATAGAGGTTCAAAAAAACGTTGATAGCAGCAAAATGTCTCGATACTTGAAAAATGTAATTGTGAACATATAAAGTATTCGATATCAATGAACATTTTCTAGTTTTTTTTTTATTTATGATAAATTCCTTCCTACTTTAGAAAACTTTCAAACTCATTTCCCTTTTTTATTCTACTAACCCGTCACTCATAATTACAATGACGTTAATTATAGTCTACAAGCAATTTTCATCTATTCGAAAGATAAAATATTGCTGCTTCACGTGGTGGCGCTGTTAAGAATTATTATAATTCGAACAAAGTATACTGATTTCGTATTTTTCCCAATATCCTAAGTGAAAAATATCTGTTCTTGGCAGAAAAGGTTTTTTTCAATAATTCAATTTCAATTATTCGACTAAATGAGAATTTCCAACATCTGTGGACGGTTATTTCTTCAAAGTGACGTTATGAGATGCGTTCATTTTTACACCATTTTTTGAGACACATCACATTGCAAATCATGGGTTTTTGAAAAAAAATGGGGCTTGAAAAATGCGTGTTTTTTCTCTGCGGTTAAAGTGACCAAAATGACCGTATCAAAGCGTTATATTTTTGCGAAATTTTTTTATGCGATGTTCATGACAGAAATGACCCCTTCATTGTATAATACGTCACTTTTCTTTTTATTATCTTGACATCACGTATCCTAATTGCTAGATTGTACCTGTAGGACCTCAAAATTTTTCAGTTCACAGTCCTGTTATGATGCCTCTAGATTTTTATAGGGTCATCTGAAGGATCTTTTTAATAAAACTCCTGCACTACATGTGAATGACTTGAGGTACTGAATAATTGACAGTTGCAATGGCATATGAAATACTCCGGATTTTTTTGAAACGTGTCAAACAATCAATGACAAATTGAATGCAGTCGTGTAATTTTTCGGAAGGTGGACATTCTGCTCATCTACTTCAAGCTCAAGCTTCACTTTTAGTCTTCACCCCACCATCAGCTACACTCAACTTCATGTCAAACTAGTCAGTTTGGTGGTAACAGTGTGATAGTGAAAACGTGTTTTGTGAATTTCAGAATCTCTCGCCTTCAAAACTTAAGCCCCCTTCTGGTTTGATTATGAATCGAACTGTTGCCTTTGAATTTCACTTATAGTTGTTCATAACCTAATAACATTGAATTTCATGTTTTTTCATTTTTTTTTTCAAATTTGTAATTCTTTTTGTGTTATTCCACATTAGATGCTCGATATTTATATTTTTCATAGTCTACAAATACTATCTTTCTAAATGAGTTATCACATCGGCCTTCTGCAGCTAACATAGGAATAGGTTATGATGCAATTTTGGCTTCGAAAAATTATTAATTATGTTTCTTGACATCCAAACGAATCCATTGATATCAAAATCATTGAAATTGGACGACCAGAAGTGAAAACCAGAAGTGACCTGTTTTGGACGTATTAGAAAACCTCTAATTATGAATCCAAATATATCATTTATTTCAGTGTACGATGATTTTTTCATTTCTTGAGTTCTCTTTATGGATTCTACAGCCCTCCTCCTTTCATTTGATGTACTGCACGTTGAAATCTAAACATTATTAACGAAGATGTGAATTAGTGCTCTATTGGTATCATCTTTAGTTTTTTCTTTGTCGATACAATCCACATTTCTTCCCCTTTTATTTGACGTGCTATACGTGACAATCTGATCATTATTAGCGAATATACAATATAGTGCCCTTCTGACATGTTGCGCCATCTAAGATTTCTGCCTTAGTACGGCAAGTCGTTATGATTTTAAGATTCGAGAGGGTATCGTTCCACCAAAAACCTCAATAATCAGAACAACCAACTTGACAGAGTGGGCTGGATAGAGTCGAAGAGTTCGAAGAGGAAATCTCGATATTAAATCCGTTTTACCTCTTCTTTTCGAACGATATTCGTCTCGCCAGGAGCTGAAAACTCCACGACAAATATCGTGTTGCTCTGGTGTCATTATTATTATTCATGCCTAATTTTGAAACTGACAACGCTACAAATGCTACATCGCCCCTTAAATAACGATTTATTTATTATCTTCCACATGATAATGACGTCACAATTTCCCTAAAATTCTACGGAAATCAAAAAATGAGGTTGAGTATTAAAAATGAGTCAATTTCAGTCCCGACAAAACAACCGCACGCCCCATCAGTATCAACAATTCGCAATTACTTCCAAGATCCCATGTTGGTGTCGAGGAAAGGACAATGTGTACCACGCCGACTATCTGGTTCAATTCTCATATCGATAAATTTTTTCAATTTAATTTTCCTCAGCTGCTGATGACCACGTACCTGGTACGTGACAAAGGGTCTCAGGGATGAATGCTCGAGCGGTGAGGCGAATACATTCGATACTCATTCTATCCTTCTCTTCATCATTACGTTACACGTTTCTCTCTCCCACTCACTAAAGTCTCTCCGAAACACACCTACGTCAAGTTGGGTGTTCCACAAGGTTTCGATCGGATGTCATGAAAATTGCAAAAAATTCAACGCCTTGAGAAAATACATGGGATTTTGCGCTCTCATCGGTGTTGTTCATCTACTGTACGCGTGGTAGCTTCTGATTGATCGACTGGATGACGGCAAAGGTGTAGGAGTGGGGTGGTCTGAAGTGGGCTTTGAAGGTCTAAGACCCAATTCACACAGAATGGACGTCTGACAGAGACGAGGCCCGGACCTTCGTCCCTTCCGCGTCTCTACCAGACATGCGTGTGAATTGGGCCTGAAGTCGTAAAATCGCCAGAATGGACCCGCTCAAATTTTCACGCGTTTTTCCATAGGTAATGGCGTAGAACTCCTATACCTATAATACTTAGGAAATTCCATTCATTTCCGAAATGAAGTTGCAGCCTAAATAAGTTCCGATGTATCGATGCCAAACATATGATGACGTCTTTCATTGCGCACATTGGAGCAAATGAACATTGAATTTATGGAGAGAGGTGGGAAAAGTGCTATCATAGAATTAAACAATTGTAACTTATATTCAGTTGAAGAATGGCCCCACAAGTCCTATTTTAGCTAATTATGTCATGAATGATTTACTAGACATTACCTTTCAACTTATTCTGTATGAAACTGGAAGTTTTCAATAGTTATGTCCGTATATAAAATTTGAGGGTGGTGAACATACCGTTCCTTTCTTGGACACAAAATTTCATCGAACTCTAGATAATACCATCTTAATAGATTGGTATAGAAACCGATAAACTCTAGCTAGTAGATTTATGAATTACCATTCTTACCATGAACTATCCATGAAAGTGAATTTGATAAAACAAATGAAACAACGCGTTCTCTGCATTTCTGATTATTCCTTCCTTAATAAAATTTAAATAACCTTTCTCAATTGTTCAAAAATAATTCATATCCAAATTCCTTATTGAAGAAGATACTGATTAGTACTTCGTCTACGATAAGTGAAATATAAATTGATGATGATAATTGAAATCTACATAATAATGAAATCAATATCTTTGATACGACTCCAGCTTTGCCACATTTCGTCTCATTACCTTACATCTCTGATATGAAATTTGTAGGAATCTTCAATGAATATAACAACAATATAAAAAAATTGTAAACAAAACAATTCTTTCAATTAATTCAATTTTCACTAAAGTTGAAGATAAAACTCCTATCAATTTTCAGTCGAATATAATATACTCCATACAATGTCTACATTGTGACAAAATATTGGTCAAACATCACGGTTATTAAAAGACCGTATAACTTCTCACGAAAGCAACTACATATTACCTTCTCAAAGATGCGCCTCTAGCGAACATGTTTGTTAACTCTTCAGGACATATTCTGAATTTTCAAGAAACACCAATTTTATCAAAAGAAAAAAATACAAATATTTTCCATTTCACAATTTTATAATTGTTCAAGCAAAAAAAAACAGATTTCAATCACTTTAGTGAAATATATTCTTTCCTTTCATCAATAGATTTAAATTATGAAAGTTTCAGAAATTAATCGATAAAAAATTTCATTACTCCACATTTATTATACTTTCTGTTAAATTTTCTCATTATTTCAAAACGTAAATCTGCATAAATGATAATAATACAAATACAGAGAAAACAAATTTGAAAAAATTAGATATTTCTTAAAATTTGCACTCCTGCTCAGGATGAAAGTTGGCATCAAAGAG